ATATTTTTTTACATAATACTAGTCGAGATTATTTATCGTTACCACATTGTGCGTTTATTTTGTTGCCGAGAAAATATGCTAAATTAACAATTTCATAATAATTCTTTTCTACTACGACTATACTATTTTAAAGCTATTGAAATGCATTTGTTTGGTACTCCTTTTAGTTTGATATTTTAGCATTGTTTATATGGATTATTTTGGACTAAATGCTGATTTATTATTAAAAATCATAAGACATGAGATGAAATGTGATAAAATACACAATATAACACATAATAAAATTAACGTAATTCTAAAATTATAAACATAAATATATTTGTATTCGTTTTTTGGTATTGTCTTTTACGTCTGATAAAATTGACAGTTGATTTCTTGAATTTTTTTACCTATTACAGGGTTTGAGAAAATAAAATAAGCAGTTAACGTGATAATGTCAGTACATACTAAATATAGACTAGATTGAAGAGGAAGACCCACAAGTTGGCTTCAAAGTTATATTTCTGGAACTAGTTTGAGAATACGTTCTAAAATGAACCCACCTAGTTTAGGTAAAACAAAAAAGAACACTTCATATCAATAATCATAAAATCCTTGATATTGTGTTTGATTTAATTTAAATATAATTATGAAATAATTAAGAGTACGTCTAATAATTTACTGTTGTACATCATATCAATACGGAGTTAGTCGTCCGTGGTCTGAAGTGCGTATAGATAAACTGCTCGTTAGAAAAAAATGATATTTATAGAAATTATAGTAATTGATGATATAAATTAATTAATGGCCGAATCTTGTACGATATAATTATTGTATATTTTGATTATTTGTGGTACTTTACTTTTAAATTTCAATCGAAAAAACATATCTTGCTCGACCACTCGCTAACTAAGTAATATGCATGTCAACTTAGGTATAATATCAGTAAATATGTCGCTTCAATCTATTTTTTTTTTTTACCTAAACTGAATCCAATGGTTTTTATACCTTGTTTACCAAAAAATATATATACCCGCGGATATTTATATTGTGTCCTTTTCTTTAGATGCACAAATAACCCGACAGTTTATAATAACATAGTTAATTGACAGGACAACTGGTGTGTGCATGATGGCTGTGAGACCTTGTTCAGAGTAGGGTGACCGACCCTAAATAATTGAGAAAAGAAAAGTAAACTAGTCACGTATAGATAAATGGACTAACAACTTGGATAATGGTTAATAATACAATTCTCGTGTAATGTGAGTATAGAACTCTTTAATATTTATATTCAGTGTTATAATTTTTAATTCTGATTACAACAGTGTTGAAATAAATCGTTTTCTTGTTATTATTTATCGTAAGCTATGTTGGTCTACAATTCAAATAACATTTCACTGTTACTATATGTAACCTTCTAAAAATATAGAAAATCGTCGTTTCAGAACCACCTTTATCATTTTTATCAACTTTCCAGGAAAATAAAAAAATCAGTTTCATTTTACATTCAATAACATTATTACCATGTTACTAATTAATTGATTAACGCGTTATCTATAGACTTTATCGTAAATCTGAGTCTATCAGTCGATTTACTGCGTATTTTTAAATAAAATATTATTGCTACTCAATATCGACAAAATCTATGATAAATAGTGTTGCTTCTTAAGTGACGAAGAAATGTGTACTTTGTACGTGTAAATAACTATAAAATTTCCGTTTCACTAAAAACCCTAAGTAAATTCAAATTATGTTAACATTAAAAGTGGATAGTATTAAGTAGTTTAAAAATAAATGAGCGGATAATTAATTAGCCTTGTAATGCATTGTATGTAGCAACTCTATGTAAATATAGAAAATATTAATATAAATTAATGGATTCCATGCTATTATAATAAAAGGTTTATTATTATAAATTTTTATAGTATCTATTAATTGTTTTACAATGTACTTTTTTACTATTTATATTGTATTGAAGCGATTTACACATTTTTACCCAGTTTCTATGATATGTTTAACATTACGTAGTAAATGACATCATTGATTATTAAAAATCATGTAAACATTTATAAATGTACAACGGAAAAATAAATAAATTTAGCTGAAAATTGTATAGGGTGAAGGAATGTATTTTCGTGGCATAAGCAATTTCGTGATATAGTTTGTTGATCGTATCGCTTAATTCCCTATTAGAAAATTGTCTTGAAAATCGCACTGAATCTTAAAACACAGTTATTTTAACAATCAGTGTGATTTTCAAGACAATTTTCTAATAGGGAATTACGCGATACGATCAACAAACTATATCACGAAATTGCTTATGCCACGAAAATACATTCCTTCACCCTACACATAAACGTAAGAAACGATAGCATTATCGTGATGCAACATTGTAAAAAATAAATATTAAACCTACTATAAAGCTTATAGTATGTGGTCCTTTTTTTAAATGTACCTAACATATCAATATTTTTTACGTTAAACACTGCTGCATAATATGTGTCTCGATTTTCAAATGAATGTCTTTAAAAAGAATATATCATGTTCTTACTAGTTCATTTTAAATAATGTTTAATATAGTATAGTAGTAAATGTCTTACGCTGTTCCACTGTAAATCAATTTTGGTTCAAAATTGTTCTTTCGTACTTAGTACAATGTTGACAATACGCTATAAATAATATAGCGTTTGAAAAACGCTTTGACTGTTTTATTAGAAATAAATTAAAAAAATAATTAACCTTTATCATTTAGTAGTAATGTTGTTTTGTATTTCTACTAAAAAAAAATACAATATTTTAAATATTCACTACAAAAGGTGTTGTGTAAATAAAAGGCAATTTTTCCTATAGAAAGTAGAATAAGTAATGAAAATAAAGAATCCTCTTAATGGATCAAAAGATCAATGGCGTTACACTATAATTCCTTAATAAATAGGTAGGTGGTGTGGCGTTCTCTTGAACCGAATATTCAAAATAATTCAGAATTAATACTCGTAGAATATTATAATAATAATATTTTCTTGTCAAAAAATTATTCAAAATGTATACTCGGAAAAAAAATGTTTTACAAAAAAGTTGTTCTATCTAGGATGAAATCTGTCTTATCGAATGAAAGTTATTAGATGGTCGTCGCTTAATATAAAAAATTTAAATGTTTTGTGTATGTGTACGTATTTGTCAATTACGCTATTGTTTTATGACCTTCTTTACCATGACTGTCTGATTAGGCGTTATCGTTGTATTGTTTATAAGTGACCTCAGTAATTCAATATTTTCTAATAAAAATCAACACACTGTGATCATCACGCTAATACATCCAATTCGAAATCCATAGCCAACGGATGGCATTGCTGTTTTCTGCAAATCATTAGGATACCTCGCGTTTGTAACTATTAGGAATGTTACAAAATACAGAATAATACACGTACAACCTAAAAATTTCGTGACAACTCACTACTATTCTATGCTAAACCATAGAACTGCTGTAACTAATACAAAGTTGTAATATAATTATTTATACAAGTCAACCAAGCTGTCGTTTTATCATAAAATCGCTATCGCACGGAATTTTGCTACAAGGTTTATTTATGAATCTCAAGTGGTTCGGCTACAGCATTTACAGAAGTAATTCATTAAATTTAATTGCTAGTTGTAAAGAAAGGGTAGGTAGGAATCACGTCATGTCGTCAAATCTCTTCTGTGTGTATATTATCTGGGGAGGGGAGGGAACCTTTTGAGACGAGTAAAACGTAAAAAAGGGTCATTTGAACCCATTAAATAAAGAGGGTCGAACAAAGAGATATTTTAAATGGAACACACACTGCACTTTATACACATGTTAAACCTTATGCTGTTAACGTTAATGTTGTTTGATAACAAACGGATAACGATAAATTATATAAAAAATAATAAATGGAACAATCATAGGCGATAGCAGCACTTCGTGTGATATCTAAAGTAAGATTGTAAAATAGGTTATATAATAATTTTGAAGTTCATAGGTTTTTGTGTTATAATTGTAAAAACGGCCTAATACATACATATGAAACCTATTTAAGAATTTATAAAATTATATAACACTGGACGTTAGCCGAAATTATTTAAATTAATTATTTAAATAATACGAATATGTTACGTTTTACAACGCTCGTTTTTGATGTTGCCCTTTGTTATACTTAAACATGTTAAATTTAATTTCCATTTTGTTATAACATGTTAGTTTTGAATTTTTAACTGTTAAACATAAAACCAACGATACAAAAATGTATTCTCGATGTATAACTCGACGGTAATGTATTAAATTTTGCTACTGACCAATTTTCTGGTTATCTCAAAAAATTTACTTAAAATTTCGTATTCATTATTATAGAATTATTTACTAAACTATGTAGGTAGGTATTATTAATCTACATATTTTTATTATATTATTTACTTCGCCATTAAAAAAATAACCTAAATTGTATTCCATTGTATATTGTTTGTTATCAGTGCGCATCTTTTGATGAGTATTTGTTACTGGCGTATAATAATTAAAATTAATAATATTCAGTGATATCTATTGTTTTACACAATCTTCTATTTCTCAAGAAATGTCAATTACAAAGTAAATGTATTAGATATTTTCTAATACATTGTGTGTGTTTATCAATATCAAAAATGTCAGTTCGTGGAAAACTAATAGAATATTAAACTATCACGTGCTGCACTTCGAATCGTATTTTTCTTATGACGTTTTTTTTTTTAAGTTATATAAAATAAATTTCAATAATTAGTAAATATATATATATCATATTATTATTATTAGATTACAAATATGGAGTACTTATATTTATATAAAACGTAGGGTTAACACCAGTTTTAAACCGAACGTATTATCGTGTGGTTTTAGTTATTAAGTATCATGCGTATGTACTCGGACGACTAGTTTATTTTAACAACCGCAAGCTTTACTGTTGTCAGTAATTGATGATTTGATATGATTTTTATTTTGTAAATTCGGCCTTTTTATTTGGTTTTTGTAGTGAATCTCCGAAAAAGCAATGATTCTAGTGAAACTGCTAACCGGTGACGACGACGAAAATATGGGCTACTCTAAGAGTATTGCGGAATGGGCAGCGATTGAAATCCAAGGAGAACTCGAATCTCGTCATAACACTCCTCTGGAGTGCCAATATGTCGGAGATCTGTTCGCCACCGTTAAAGACAACGTGCCCATATTAATCATCGGCCATCATATCCTTTACGGGAAAATGGAAACTTTTGCCAGGCCGTTGGCCGTGATGAAGAAAGAGGTTATTTCCGGGGAAAAAGGAGAAGGTGGGGAATACACGGTGGTAGCCGTGGTCACTAAGAAACTGTTGTTCAAAAATAGACCGAAGCCCATTATAGCCAATGTTAACAAGACTTAAAACTAAATGCTTTTTGGTATTTTTCACTTATTTCGTTTTAACTTTGTAACGTGTACATCGAATTACTCTCAGTATTTTATGTTCAATACATACACATAACTATAATTAAAAAATGTTCTGATGTTCAAGTAAATTGATTTTATAATTATTATCTTTTTTGGCATATTCTATAATGTAAATATTTTTAAACGCCCGTTACTCCTTAAAATTGTACACGATGCAACAAAACATGCAGCCGTGAAGTTTGCCAATGCCAAGGCGCTCAGGCGTTTTACGGCTGTACATTTATTTGCCTACCCTTTATGCCGCACGCTATACGATTTCATTATTTATGAATACAATATAATAACCTACCTCAACTTACGTTGTTTTTATTCGAATGTATTTTATAATATTTCGCGCGTTATGTATAATAATAAATTTCGAATAATTACAACACCTAACGTGGTCAAATATTTTTAAAGAATGATCATTAAAAATATTACTCTGCTGTATATATAACATATTATATAAAAATATACAGATTCATCGTGAAGTTTAGTGTTGGCATTTTTTAATAGATTTTATCATACGAATATTTACTGATTTAATTTACGCTGTAAAGATAGCCTACTAGTTAGAGCTATTGGAATCTTTTTTATCTTGTATAGTTAAACTAATGAACGTCTCTAATTTTTGCTATCTGGTATCTTTTCGGGGCCGCCCACAACAGTTATTGTAAAAAAAAAAAATTAAAACTTAACATGAAATATATAATGTATCTTTTTGAAAATAATATGTACAAAACTGTAAGAATTTGTTCTTTGCACCGCTGGTTATAAACTGTGTTAAAACGAGTTTTATCCGATTGCAAAAAAAAAAAAATTAAAATTATAAAATTGATCATTCAGCGGTACAATTCTTATGCGGAAGTAGTAGGACAGACTTAAGGATATATGTATCATTATTTGGCATCTTCGTTTTCGCCGACCGTCGCGTTTTTATTTTCACTCGTGCATCACATAATGCTTGAGCCGACCAAAAAAAAAAAAAAACAATTTTTTTTCAAATAAACTTAGTTCTTTGATAACTGATTGGTTTGTGTGTAAAACTTGAACTTGTTTTGTTTATATTCTAGGCGGTCACTCGCCATGTTGCTGTGTATTTTATTACCTATGAGAACTACTAAAAAAAATTGAATCTTTATTTTTGTTTCGGCTTGCTCCATAATACAAAATTCGCATAGTCTATTTCTGCGAATATTTTGTCTGCCAGTCATGCTCGAACGACAAATAGATAAAATGCAATTCTGTCAAAAAATGGTTGGCAATATAATTTCTAAAAAAAAAAATCGGGTCGGTGAATACGAGCCAAGGTCTTGTGTTCGCGAGAGTTTAATAATCGACGGCGGTTTGAGACAGTCGATCTGATTATGTTGCAAATCTGAATGACCGACAGCTATTCCCAAGGTTCAATCACACGCTATCAAACTTTGGGGGGGCTACACGTATCAAACGAGATTTTCAAGAACATCGACTATGGCTGCTATATAATTTATATACATCTAAAAAATAATAGTTGTTTACTATTTATACTAATTGTTTAAAACAATAATCAAATCTTATACTAGTTATTACAGCATCACATCTCGTCACAACGAATATTTAAATATTAAATACATGATTAGTATTTAAAATAGAAGGCACACGAATTTGAAATAGTTAACATATTAAAGGCATGACGAAAAAAACTTACGTTAAATTGAACGTGTATTGGGCGTAAAATAATATTCCGTATTGCCTTGAAAGAAAACCTTGATCATTTTCTGTATTTTCTTTCTTGTGTTGTAGTCGACGGCTGCGGTTTGCATGAAAAAAAAAAATGTTCTATCTAAACTGCTTTTATCCGAATCGGTTATACCCGTGTATTTAGGTAAAACCTATCCGTTTAATGATTATGTATGTGCCATACACAATCTTTTAAGTTAGATTGAGTGAAAATCACATGACGTGTATTACAGGACCAGTTTGTTTTAGTTTCGATGATTTGCTATAAAGGAATTAGTTTTTAATTTTAATATTTTCAAATAGTTTATGGTGATGGAAAATATAGTGAATGGTGATATGTTATCTGTGTATGTAGGTATATAAACAGTTTTATTTTAACTAGCTGAAATTAAATAGGCTATAAGATCACACATTATTTGTATATTGCCATAGCCTAAAAGGGCACACTCAGTGGTTATCAACAAATTATTTTTAAATTATTCGATAGAATATATTTAAAATATATTTTCACAATAATTAAATTTAATACTCTACATTCTACAAAGATGATAAACATGATAATCTATGAAATCCGCTGTATCATAACAAATATTTTAACAGAAAAACTTGCTTACTTCGGCACTGAATACTTATATGATGTCTACGTACATCTGAACGTTACTAAAAGGACATTTTTTACTTATTCTCTTTTTCTTTTTTCTTTCCCGGCTGTCATAACTAATCATTCCTTAATTTGTAATAAAATTAACGCATAAATGCTGAAAATTGCAGTTAAATGATAATTTGCTAGCATTCTGAGGTTTTCAATAAATGTGTAAATGCCTAAAAGGCATGGTTTAACGATCGATATTTTTAAAAACATTATTGTTTTGTACACATCTTGTGGAGTATGTATCGGTCACAACTGGCTATAATTTTAAACAAACGCATCAGTGGTCATCACTCAGCCACTGGCAGTATTGAATTCTAATCTAGGCCTTCCCTGGAAAACATAGATATACGTGTATTACTATAATTCAAGACGGTGGACCGTGTGTCCCATGGGATTCTCACTCCTTTGCTAAGCATGTTACAAACGTCCAATTAGTTTTTATAAAATTTCATCGACTCCATCGTTCGGTGTTGGTAACTGGATACACCCGAAATGGTATTATTCCTGACGCTGTTTCCTGTCCAACAGAACCGCGTTTCGGTCTTGAACACGATCAATATTGTACACCATATTATTCCAACCGACGGTGTTCTGTAAGTATAGTAGGGACATCCTGCGAATTCCATTAATTTCTCCCCACACACACAAACACACTGCTTGTACAATAACATGGAGGGTATCTATTTCGCGCATTGTAACGAACCATAATTTTATAACATTGTGTATGATAATCATACTACGATTTAATACTGAAATGCTCGCCTCGTTTGTATGACCGATCCCGTGTATTATTAATTATCTACCGCATAATATTATTATTATGATCGAATCGGTCGCTTGTGTGCGCTTGAATAGAGCTGGAAATACGTTTCGAATTTAATATGTATTGCGAGTATGTATGTTTTCACCGGAGTACATAATATTATACTTGATAGGGTAGTGTTGGTCTAGAGTAAAGTTAAAAAATTGTTTACCGCTTAGAAAACAAAAAGGCCATATTAAACCCTATTGGGAATCGCACTGTGAGTGTGTGTGATCGACGCTTCGTCGTCTAATTATAAAATATCGTTACTTTGTAGTATTATTGTTTTCTCGTTTGAACACGAGTATTTATTTTTATCTCGTTTGCGATTTCACTTAACTTGGTTTTTTTTTTTTTTAGTTCTAGCGATTCTGCTTACTACGTAACTGTAAGAAAATCTCTTGGGAAACGTTTGCTCTTGTCACCCGTGTAGTCTATATGAGAATATTTTTTTTACCGCGTTACCACTACTCAGTGTCGCTATATGGGTTCCTGTTACGGTAATTTTCAAAACTCGTTTCGAGTATAATAATATGAGTCACAGTCTGAAGAGAAAATGGAATATGGATTGCATTTCCGACAGGACGAGAGGTTCGTTTACAAAATAATTTTATCTACCGCGAAGATAACCGTGGCCGTTGCTTCGACCACGTTATCTTCGAACGCGCTAGTACATTATGCCGTATATCTCGAAACCCGCTGATATACACCCATTGTGCGTTCCATGCGAGTATCGTTGAAATGATTATTATTATATATTATAGTTTACATAACACTCAATCGCTGCCTCGACCGCGTTTTAGACACGTCGTGTGTGTGCGTTTGCACCGCGAGTTCAACCGTGAAAAACGACCTCATGACGGCGGCGGACCCAGCTGTATACGAGTTTAAAAATTGTATTTTGTTGATAATCTGGTCTACTAGAGACGACGACGACTTCTACACCCGTCTGGTTGTGCGTTGTCATGTATTATACAGCACACGCAGAACAGAACGAGCTGCTTATAATAATTAGTATACATACATAGGGCCGAGTGAAAACACCGGGACCGCGGTGGTGGTGCTATTCAAATTGTGTGTTCGACGACGAAATAATCTGCAACAGCAGCAGCAGCAAATAGGGCTGTGCTCGTCGCTGTGCTGTGCACATGATAGCAGTTGCCAGGGGGTTGTCGACCTCCGGTGCCTACACACACATACACATAAAAACACTCACCCCTCGTCGGAATTATATTGCTCACGACACGCAGCCTTCGTGCCTTATCGCTAGGGACCACCACCACACCATACACAACAGCCGCCATCCGCCGGTTCGGCACCCTCCGCCAAAAACACAGTCATAGTTTTGAAACTCGCACCACTGTGCTGTTTGCCGACTCGGGGTTTGACCTGGAAAACTTTTTCACTGAGCCCCTTACTTCATTTGAATTAGACGAAAGTAAAAGTACCAGGCCGGCAAACGTAAAACGAGTGACTGCAAAACAGTTTTTGGAAAACTTATATATGCGTATACATATTATTATATGTTAAAAACGTTTTGTCAGTCGGGATTGAGGCGGACGGCGAGACTTAAAGTAAAGTTGTTCGTTACCATCGCCTTCCGTCATAAACCTAATGCCCGCCACTCGGTTTCCTATCCCATCTCTACCCCATGATCGGCACTATCGACCGCGCTCCGTTTTGTACGCTGTACAAACTTCAAAACCCCCTTCTCCAACTTCTTTATGTAAGCCCCGAACGTGTGTGTATTAAAATAATTAAAAAAATCCCTCTTGTATTATCTCGGTTGCGTTATTAGAGCTTATGTGGCGCGGTCGAGAGGGGTGATGTATGGTGACTCACCATTGAAAATCAATTTGTCGCCCAAAAACAAAAAGTATATATATATGTGTATATACACTATGTACACGTATATAAATAATAAGAACCAAAAAGAGTAGAAGTAACATTGTTTTTTTTAAAACAAAACAGTTTGTTAAACAATATTTGTAAATTAAACTTTTTTCTAAGGTTGTTTTAGTATATTTTTTTTAGATATATTGAAGAAAACTAATGAATATCACCCATAATAATATATCAAAAATATAATTTGCATTTTGCTTTCTAGTAAAATTTTGTAAAAGTTACTATACCGTTATA